TGGGAGTTGAAGTCCACTCATCTTAAAGTGGCCAAGTTTGGACAACACTGATCTACAAGATTTCAACTTTTATGCTCCCTGGCCAAAGCTAATGATGTTAGGGAATAAGGGAGTTAAGGTCCAGTTCATCTTGAACAATTTCTTTTTGGTGGCTCCACACAATTCTGGGTGCTGTCACACATCCGCCTTTACTCTAGACACGTTCATGGCATTCAAAACACACTATTTGTTCTTGCATAAAATCTGAGATTAGAAGCCATTCAAAGGAATCTTGTATCCTTGTCAGTGATTAACTAGTCACCCATTTCTGCTTTACAGCATCACAAGTGCAATCCTGCTATTTGGCTTGTAGAATTGTTTAGAATTGAAAAAACCAGTTCATTCCATACATACTTCCTCCATGCGTTTGTTGAGCAACATGGCAGCTTTACTGAACAGGCTATGATACAGAGAACTTAACATTTCTCTAAAATGAAAATCTTTCCATCAAGTGCTGCAGCTGAAAAGAGCCCATTTAACATATGTAAATGTTAGCAGCATCTGAATAACCCATATTAAAAAAGGAGCAGCCCAGGGCCTTCTAAATCATAGAAAATATATTGCAACACCAAGAGCAAAATTATTTGGTGCTTTACAAATAAACAGGATTTATCAAACATTGCCCCTTGCAGACTTACAGTACTGTCGACATAGGCTTCAGTCCATACCACGTCATGTTCTTGATCAATCACTTTAGGTCGACTGAGCACGTGGAGATATTCCATAACATTTTCCTGCACATCAGCTAGAGTAGAGATCTGAGTGAAAAACCCTGGATATATTTGAGGGAAGAGAGAAATGTGATCATTCAGACATAATAAAGTGAGAATATGCAAAACAGTTATAAATATCTTTTCTCTTGGTGTTACAAGGAATGGGGTGTGAGGGAAAAAACCTGAAGAGAAAAAAAAAATATAGCCCAAAGAAGAAGCCCTGTCAAGTTTTAATTTGTGAAAGCACAAGTCTGTGAAATGATATGTCAGTCCAGAAAGGCTCCATTCCTCAGAGTGTTCTACACCATTGCACAGCTGTCCTGATTTTTTTTCCCCTTCAGTTCCAAGTCAATTTTTTCAGCTTCAGGAGAAAGTAAAAAAGGAGGGAGTTTGTTCTTAAAGACAAATGCTTACGGCAGAGTTCTATTAACTTTTTACTCTACAACCTTTCCAAGTGCCAAGTATCACAAATACAAGGGCGATATTTTTAGGTTTATCAAATTCTAGCTCTAAAATTCTACACCTGAATTGGAGTTTTACTGCATCCCACCACAGTGGCCTAATGCTACCTCTTACATAGCCCACAGCTATCCATACAAGAACCTCATCTGTGGCAGCAGGAACTCCTGTGGACACTTCCACATTACCACAGACTTCATTCCCCAGCCCCTCATGAACTGTTGGAAAACAATCCATGACTTCTTTTATGATGACTTCATGAGAATAAAGGAAAATTGCTGTGACAAATAATGTTGCACATTACAGAAAGTGTTTGAGTATGAAACTAAAGAGACAAAATGTCCAATTAAAAATCATATAAATAAAAAGCTGGCCCTGGAGTCTGTGTCTTTTGCAGATTCAAGCATTTTATCCATTTCCCAAGTTTAGTTTTCTGCCATGTAATGGAATGTCTACATTTGGACTTTCCTGGAAAACTGAAGTTCAGGCCTAGGAATCATAGAGTAGACATGATGTAGCTTAAAAGTTATCTGCATTTTTCAAATGGAGTCCATAATTCAAATAGCTGCTTTTTCTCAGGGCAAGTAGCTTCAGGAGGAATATTTAGTGAAGGATACTCCAGCCTTTCTTCCTCTACCTTTTCTCCACTCCAAATCACATCCCTAATCATCTTCTCCTGCAAAGGGTTCCAAATGTGTCATTCTTTCTCTAATTACGCATCTGGAATACCCAACAAAATCATTCAGAAGTCAGATTTGATCAATATCCAGGTGATATTTAGTTGTGTGTCTTTTATCAGTTAGATGAGGGAGCGGAAGAACTAAGTCAGTACCTGGACACAAGAATTCATTGGAAGGGACTTGGTCTAGTACTTTTGGTGGGTGGGTCACCTGCTCAGGGAAGGTGGAGTTCAATCCCTTCTAGTCTGAAGGTGTTAACTAATGTATTAACTTATAATATCATGGACTACAAGGATGCTCAACAATTTAGAAGAATATATGAACACCAATAATAAAATCAGAAGCAATTAAAACAATTAAAGCCAACAATATAAGCAGTCTGTTTTTAAAGTGCATTCTTAAGGTCTTTTAAAAAGCCAGCAAAGAGACAAACCCCCTCAACTCAGCAGGAAGCACACTGCAAAGAACAGGGGCATCTTCTTAGTCCAGAGTCACTTCAAGACAAATCCATGGCAAGTGTAGGTGAACTCCTTTAGTCTCAGGGAAGGAGGTCAGGGGAATCATATGGAAAGAGGTGTTTCCTTAAGTAGCTTAGATGTAAGCTACATAGGGTTTAAAGATAATAACCCACACTTTGTATTTCATCCAGAAACAAATTTGCTGCCAATGGCAATACTTCCAGGTACAATGAGGCCTCTCTGGGTTCTTCCAGAGACCACCTTGGCTGCTGTATTTTGTTCCCACTGTACTTTGCAAACTTGACCCACAGGTCGCTCTATATACAACATGTTACAGCAGTCAAGATGGGACACTATCAGCACATGCACCACAATTTTGAGCTGTTTTCTTTCAGAAAGAGAGCCACTTGGTATATCAACTGATTTTGATAAAAGGGACTTCTAGTCATGGTCTTAGTTTTGGAAACCAGAGCATTTCCACATGTACATCTGCTTATCTGTGACTCCAATCACAGCAGAAATCTACTGCCTGTCTGGGGCTGGGGCTCTTTACAATGAGCAACTCTGAAGCTGAACAGACAAAACAATTGATTACCCCATAAGTGGCTTCTGACAGGTATCAGGAGCACTGCATTACTATCTAAAGGCATTACACAGAAATAGGTTTGGATGTAGCCGACTGGTAACAAATCTCCAAATGATCTCCTGCATGTAAAAGCACTGAAAACAATGGACAAAGAGTTAACATACTGTATCTTATGCTCTAAATGGTTTGGGAAACTTTTTGTCACAGAGCTGTGTATAAATGTCATCAATTGCAATATTGCTTTTCAAAAAGTTGGTACTACCTTTCATACACGCATTTACATGAAATGCATGACTATTCACAAAAGAAATGGATGAATCACTTCTCACAAGACACCAGAATTTAGGATATTATTACAACAAGTGGACTTGGGCAATCTTAAACCCAGTTAGTCTTTAAAGATGTGTTATAATACAGTAATAAATAATTGCATGTTCAATAATTCCTCAAAAGACCACTTGACACAGATTCCTATCCAGACACCACATTGGTGAACTGACGCATTTTTCTGAGCTCCTTTCTGCTGAGTTATTAAAAATGCTAGGAGTTTGATGTATATAATAATTAAATAAACTAACATTAAAGAAAAGGGTCTGTCAAATGACTGTAGTGAGGTACACTATTTTTTTTTAAGATTCACTTAATACTGGCTCTTTTGTTTGCGCCAAGCTACAACATTACAGTTTACCTTTGTTTTTACAGCTGGCAAACTTTCAGTTGTATTTGACTGCTAATCTATATCCCTTCAAACCTGGCATGCTGAACCTCTGCAAAACTTTACTTGAGCATTGGAAGATCTTGTAAATATCTGCAATTTCTTCCCCCTTCAGGCTCATTCTCCTCCAGGCTATGGGGGAGATCACTATACATTCATTAGCTATTCTACAGCAGTGTTAGGATCTTGACTGTTTTAATGTATTTCAAATGGGTTGTCGCTCTGCCTCATTAAGCTCATACTCCCTCAAGATATGGCCTACTTTTTAGAAGCAAGCTGGAGCCAAGATGGGAGGTGGAGGTCTCATGCAACATGGTGTAAATTTCTAGTGATCCAGTTCTAGAGAAAAGACTTCATACCCCACAATCCACTTATCTGGAAATCTTTTACACACCTTTCATCTCTGCTGTGTGGTTCCAAGGGGAAAAGCACCACAAGGAAAATTGATTTTGGGGTCAGTGACCTCTGTGACAACTACATGGTTTGACTTATCCATCCGTTCAGGAATTGAAGTGTACTCAGTCCTTCTCAGACTCTAAAGACCAATGGTGCCAGTTCCCATCCTCTTTTGCAACTACTATCCTTCATGCCCCCAACACCCCAATGCTGGTAATGCTGTAATTGATTAGGGTAACCTCTTAAAATATTATTTCACGAGTGAAAAAAAATATGCTAGAAAAGATACTGTATAGAATCCAAAGAGATCAGTTCAATTAATACCCCATGAATTATGTGAGCTGCTTCTTCAGGCAAATATTGCACATATGTTACAACAATTTTAGAAGATGCTGATTTATTCCTATATTAGGAATGTGTACTTTTGTTTTAAAAGCTTCAGAGGAAATAATCCCTATTCACATAGATACACAACTAGGTACAAATGTAGATCTCCTTGGATAACCAATGAAGAAAAGGAAATTTGGCAAATCTTAGCCAAAATTAGAAAAGAAAAACTTAATCAGATGGGGATATGCACTTTTCTCACTTGCCAGGCTATACATACTATGCCTTAGAGGTTAAATTTGTTTAATTTAAATTACAGCATTTAAATACAGTTAATATAATTCCTAATTCAACATTTTAGTAATTTTGTCATATTCAATTTTAGTTTTGTTATCTTAAAAAAATTTTTTTTCAGCAACTTTTGGAGCCTACTTTGGGTGGCCAAATAAGACAAGAAGTTTCATTCAGCTTTGGTTCCATTCACATGGCTCCTCCATTTAGTTGTTACCACACAACAGTGGACAGGAAGAAGCTTCTGAATAACAATTTCTACTTCCTGTGCTAGATACATCGTAAGCACCAGATGGGCATCGGAAGCAGGCAGACAAGTACAAAACATGCATGCAAATGCTTCAACTTACATACTGGTATCAAATGTTGGGATGGAGTATGTACAGTAATGAGTATGTGAAGTCATCATTTTGGTGTAATTCAGGTTTATTGTGGATGCCACTGACTACCAGGGAAAAAAAGTTATCTGGGGGTACTCAAAGACATGGTTGAAGGAGAGGAAGTCCCAGAAACCACTGTGTTCAAAATCCCAAACGAAGGGATTTTGCTGGGCCACCACAAAATTTAAATACTGAGAAAGTAGGTTAGTAACCTTCTGATACATTTCCAATTACTTCCCGCAATTGCTAAATAATAATTTTCAAAACCTTGTATGGGACTTTTACCATGAGACAATTAAAAATAAGGACACAAAGACAAACAAACTGCCTTTCAAGCCTACAAAAATATAGCGCAGAACAATATATGATCTTTTGGCTTGGCAACCAACAACAATTTACAAGTAGTGATTGGGCAAGACTTGAAATCAAACGTTATGAAAGGAAGTGCCTTTTCATGAGCAGATGTCCTTAGATCTTTATAAAGCGTGGGTAATGTACTGTCTGAAAAGCGAACATGCTTTGGTATTAACTAAACTGTCTTTGAAAAACTTGCTTCAAAGGATTCTTGTACAGTGACTAAGTCTAAATCCTAGTGTGCAATATTAGCTGATTAAGACAAATCTTTAAACAGGGTAATTTCCATCAGATGGGCACCAAGAGTGGTTAATGCAATAATGCATGACTAAATGGATATACTTCCAATGAGTCATTTAAATGTCATGTGGTGTGCACACATACATAAGTGAGAAAACCTCAGTACACATGTAATGACAGGCAGAATTGCAGAATAAGCAAAGCATTTTTATTATTTTAAAATCATGGCACCGTATTATGTGTTTTGGAATCACAGTTCTGTCATTATTTATCAAGAGATACATCTGCTTTAGTGTCGCCTGATGAGTTCTAAGCAACATAGGAATTTGCTATGGCTCCAAGATCCTTAGAAACCTAAGGATGAACTAGACCAAACACAGATGCTTCATAGTCAAGATTTCCCATCATTTTAAAATCAACTAGAAGTCACCAAAGCTACACGGAAACCTGAAGAAATAATGTTAGACAAGAGAGTTTTCACCTTTGCCATCTAATATTGCCTGCCAACTCCTACTATCTCTTTGAGGTAAATATCCAGGCATTCCAATTTGTGAAGTAAGTACATCACATAGCTAATGTATGTTGTGTATGCAAAAGAGAGGGAGAGAGACAGAGAAATATACATACATACATACATACATACATACATACATACATACATACATATCTATCTATCTATCTATCTATCTATCTATCTA